ATAAATAAATTATAAACAACAAATAAATAATATTAAAAATATTTGAATATATTATCCACTGAACATTACGGCAATACTGCAAACCACATTTAAAAATTTAATGAATTTAACATATTATTACATTATGAGGTATATTCTATTTAATGTACCACAACTAGAAAACAATAACAAATAATCATATTCAAAATGTTCGAAAATATTACTTACTCAACGTTCCCACCATTTGCAACCCCACACCCCAATAAGTTAAAAATTTTCATTCATAAATGTAACAAATATTATTAGCTTCTATAATGCTTAATAGATCACCTACCCAACACATTAAGAAAATAATTCGCTTTTTAATAATCAATACAATATAAATAATAATATTGAAAATATATCACCTACTCATCAATGCAATTTTTTTAATAATTATAATTCTATCATTTTTAACAGATTAATAATGTACCATATTTGGAAAATGATTCTGAAACATCCATGTTTTTTATTTAGGACCTTTTGGACCCTTCAAGGTTTTAAGACAATGATTTAACCCAGACCACCTTAAATATGTTTTCTCAAGCCTCCTTAAATCAATGGTCCTCCATCGGCAGTTGCCATGGCAACTATGGGAGAAGTCTCTTTTTCAGGCTCTTTCATTCACTGAGTGGCTTATGTATATTTGAGTGCATTGAATGCTCAAGTGTAAATATGAGCGTGTGCATATGTGCCGGATGCGTCTTTAAAAGTCCTGTGAAATGTATGCTCTCAAAACCAACAAGCAGGGCTGATTAATTAGCAAGCACAGAGTAAATTTTGGAGCGTGAGAACAATGGAAAAATGATTCCACTGTTGCTAAATTAAACAGGCACGCCTCTAAATTACACCAAGAATTGTGAGTAACATTGATTTTGACTGCAAAATTAGGTAGACACAGACAGATCATCTTTTATCTAACCTTTGATGGGAATTCACGATGAAACTGTGCTGCCCCATGAGGATCATAAGCTAACAGACATCTGAATTAAATTCTGAATCATGTACATGTCTGAACTTTGAAGACAGATGTGGATCAAATTTGCAATGCAGAGTGATTTCTTCGCAGCAGTTATTATTGAACATAATGGAAATCAATCATGATTATGTGTATGAGCTTATGTTGCTGCACAGACGTGCCCAAAAAATAGATCTATGCTGTACTACAGAGAGGGATATTAGTAGTCATGTCACAGAGAGGCATTAAAAGGCCTGTGGAAAGAGATATTGATTTCTCTGGCCCCATTAAATTGCATTTTAATTCAACAGAGGGTTTCAAAGATGGTAGATTTGGGTACACAGAGCCACCATGCATGTTTAACAGCCTGGCTGAGAAGAAAACATAAAAAATACAGGTTTTGAGCAAGCTAACGAATATATCATGCTGACCTGTCCTCCATTTTTAGAGCACAGGTAATATGATAAGTGTGAATGAAGAAATAAAAAAATGAACAAAAGAATGAATGGCTGTAAAAATTAATAGATGGCTTTATGGAAGCATAGATGGATGGATGGATGGATGGATGGATGAACAAATAAATGAATGCATGGAGGGTAGAAGAATGCAGGTTAGATGGCTTTATGGATAAATGCATGAACAAAAAAATAATGAATCAATGGAAAGGAGGATGAAGGAAGGAAGGAATAAACAGCTTTCCGGTCAAATGAATGAATGAATGGAGGATAGATCCTCAAACAATTGGTGACTGAATGAACAAACAAAACAGAAGAGAGAAGAGAGAATAGATAGCCTAAAAGATGGATGGATTAACAAACAAAGGAATCAATATGCAAATGAATGAATGAATAGAGGACAGATGATTAATGGATGAATGAATAAAACAAACAAACCAATGGAGAAAGTCTAAACAAATAAACTAATGAATGACTAGAATGAAGGATAAATGACTGCTTTATGAATGAATGAATGAATGAATAGAGGATAGATCCTCAAACAATTGGTGACTGAATGAACAAACAAAACAGAGGATGGATGGATGGATGGATGGATGGACGGAGAAATAAATCAATGAGCAAACGAATTAATGAATAGAGAATAGATAGCCTACAAGATGGATGGATTAACAAACAAATGAACAAATGAATTAATATGCAGAATGAATGAATGAATAGAGGACAGATGATTAATGGATTAATGAATTAAACTAACAAACCAATGGAGAAAGTCTAAACAAATAAACTAATGAATGACTAGAATGGAGGATAAATGACTGCTTTATAGATGGATGGATGGATGAATGAATGAATGAATAGATGGATTTATGGAAGCATAGATGGATGAATGAATGAACAAATGAATGAATGCATGAAGGGTACAAGGATGAATGTATGAATGTAGGTTAGATAGCTTTATAGATGAACGTATGAACAAAAAAATAATGAATGAATGGAAAGGAGGATGAATGAAGGAATGAATAATTAGCTTTCTTATCAAATTAATAAATGAATGAACAAACAAAGAAATGAATGGAGGATAGATTTTCAAAGGATTTGTGACTGAATGAACAAATGGACAGAGGATGATGGATGGATGGATGAATCAATAAGCGAAAGAATGAACGAATAGAAGATAGATAGCTAAAAAGATGGATGGATGAACAAACAAAGGAATAAATACACAAATGAATCAATATGCAAATGAATGAATGAATGAACGAATGAATGAATGAGTGAGTGAGTGAGTGAGTGAGTGAGTGAGTGAGCGAGTGAGCGAGCGAGTGAGTGAGTGAGTGAGTGAACTGAATGAATGAACAAACTAACAAACCAATGGAGAAAGTCTGAACAAATAAACTAATGAATGACTGGAATGGAGGATGGATGAATGCTTAATAGATGAATATATGAATATATTTATGATCGAACAAATAAATAACTGAACAAGAATAGGAATGGAGGATATATACTTAAGGATGTGTGAATCAATAAAACAAATGAATAGAGGATGGAAGGATGGAAGGATGGATGGATGGATAGATGAATGGCTATATGAATAAACAAACGATTAAACAAGCAAACAAAAGAATGGATAATAAATACTTAAAGGATGGGTGAATCAACTAACAAACAAACAGAGGACTGAACAAACAACAAATAAATCAACAAGTAAATGAATGAATAGAGGACAAATGGCCTAATGGATTAATAAAAAACAAACAAAAAATGGAGGAATGTTTACATATGGAGGAATAGATAGACGAATGGATGGCTTAGCTACAGTGCCTTGTGAAAGTATTCATACCCCATTCATTTTTTCACATTTTGTTATGTTGCTGCCTTATGTTAAACTGCTTTAAATTACTTTTTTTTCCACATCAATCTACACTCCATACACCATACTGACTAAGCAAAAATTGTCACAACTTCGTAAATTTATTAAAAATAAAAAAACTGAAATAAGTACATTACTACTATTCATTCATTATTCAACTATTCATACCCTTAACTAAATATTTAGCTGAAGCAACTTTACAGTCTCAAGTCTTTTTTGTTTAATGCGACAAGCTTTGATCATCATCATTTGGCAATTATCTGCCATTCTTCTCCTCACCTCTCAAGCTCTGTCAGGTTGGATGGGGGCAGACGCACATTTTCAAGTTTCTCCAGAATGATTTGATTGGGTTCAAAGCTCATGCTCTGGCTGGGCCACTCAAGGACATTCACAGAGTTGTCTATAAGCCACTCTTGCTGTGTGCTTAGGGTCATTGTCCTGTTGAAAGGTGAACCTGCCCAGTCTGAGGTTCTGAATGCTCTGGACTGGGATTTAATTCTTGTTTCTCAGAGTCTGAGAGTCCTTTAGGTGTTTATATGCAAAATCCAAGTGTGTTTTCATGTGTCTTCACTGAGGAGAAGATTGAGTCTGGCCACTCCAACATAAAGCCCAGATCGGTGGAGTGTTGCAGTGATATTTGTCCTTCTCTAGATTTCTCCCATCTGCATACAGCTCAACTAGAGTGACCATCATGCTCTTGGTCACCACTCTAACCAAGACCCTTTTCCATCAATTCCTCAGTTTGGCCAGGATTTTCTGAAATCTTCCCCAGATGTGTGGCTTGACACAAACCTGTTTCTGAGCTCTACAGGCAGTTCTTTTGACCTCAGGGCCTGGTTTTTGCTGAAATGCATTATCAGCTGTTAGACCTTTTATTAAGATGTGTGTGCCTTTCCAAATCATATCCATTCAATTGAATTTGCCACAGGTTAACTTCACTCGAAGTGTAGTAACATCTATAAGCAATTTGAATGCTCCTGAGCTAAATTTCAACTTTCCCAGATAAGGGTATGAATACTTATGCAATGGAATCATTTAAAGTTTTTTATTTTTAATAAATTTGCTAAGATATTAAAAACCTGTTTTTTGCTTTACCATTATGGTGTATGGAGTGTAGATTGATGTGGAAAAAAAAGTAATTTAAAGCAGTTTAGCATAAGGCAGCAACTTAACAAAATGTGAAAAAAAATGAAGGGGTATGAATATTTTTGCAAGGCACTGTATATGACTGAACAAATGATTGAAAAAGCAAACAAATGAATGGAGGATAGATGCTTAATAGACAAATGGATGGATGGATGAATGAATGAATGAATGGCTATATAGATTGGTGGCTTTATGGCTGGTTGGACATATGGTTGAACAAACAAAAAAATAACTAATGAACGAATAAACAGATAAATGTATACATCAACGCTGAATAAACCTGTCATTCATAAACACAGTGTGCAAACATCATGATCTAGTAGTTTGTCATTCTGGATGTTTCATGAAACCAGAGCACAATCTGATCGTGTTCTGACATCACAAACAATCCCACAAAATAGAAACCTCCCCCTCAGATTTCATGTTACAATCTTTTACGCGTACATCTCCGGAGGGAAAATACAAGTAGAGGTCACAACATCAAATTTCTCCAAGTGTAAAAGAGAGCAACACACTCACACATGTGTTAACACACTCAAACACTCACCATCTTCCTCACACTCCTCTGGGGGCTTGGCTTTCTTTGCTAGTCGAGGGTCGAGCCATGACGTCGTTTTGGTATTGTGACTGAAAAGAAAAATATTGTTTAGCTACCATGATACGAATTAAAAGTGCCTCTATGTGTGTTATGTCAGGCAAACTTTGGTACAATCCTAACTTTGAAATGTAAAACATTCTAGACTAGAAATCCCAGAAGGCCTCAGTCACAGTGGCTGGGGGTTTTTCCAGTTAACACAATGACAATCAATACTTTTAATAAGTCCCTCGTTTCTCATTAAGGACAGATGGGAGGGAGACGAACATCTCTCTCTTGCTCTTAAGAACACTCTTCCCTCAGCTACTCTGGCAGATTCAGTTTTAGTGATTCATTTATCATCATGATTCATGGCTCAGCAAAATCCAATGTGTCAGTTCATCCCTAAAGTGGTACCATGTGATATATACGGAATAATATTTTTATTTAAAACTAAATTAAAAAATTAAATACAAATTCATGCATTATTTATTTATACAAGAACATTAAAACAAATGTTCTAATAGTATTGCAGATTTAAATATCAACAGCAAAAATTACATTAGAATTGAAAAAGTTTCAATAATTCTGTGAATCAGTTCAAAATCTGTTTCAAGGAATCGAGTTATAAAAATCTTAATCTGATTTGCTTGCATCATCACTAAAATGTTCATGAAAGTACATGTGCAGTATTGAATGTATTAAAATGGGTTAGTAATAAATAAATTAATTAATTAATTAATTATGACTTTTTATTACCAGTTATAATTATATATTATATTATATTACATGTATTATATTATATACTTAATTTTTATATAAATATAAATATAAATTAAAATAATATTTTTTATTTGTTATATCATCCCTCTAGAATTAAACATTTTGGTAACATTTTGCGAAAAGTTTATGTTAACATTAACATGTTTACATCATTAACATTAGTTAATTTATTTCATGTAATGTATGAACTAACATTATCCAACAATGAGTAATATATTTGTAATTCATTAGCATTTATTAATCTTTCTTAACATCAGTTAATAAAAATACAACTGTTAAATGTTAGTTCATATGAGCTCAGGTGCATTAAATAATATGAACAATACGATTTTTTGATTTTGAAAATGCATTAGTAAAGGTTCAAATTCACAAAGTAAGATTAATAAATGTTTTATGTACTTCAGGCTAACTAATGTAATTAATTAATGTTAACAAATGAAAACTACCAATATTTTAAATCAAACTGCCTTGTTTGACTGAAATGATGAAAAATGTATGAAAATATGAATTTACAATGAATATTTATATATTAATCCAATTATTTATATTAAGTAATTTTACATTGATTAATACAAATTAATTTCAATAAATTTCAGAGGCAATTACTTAAACTGAATTCCATCAAAAAATAAAAAACAAATTACAATTTTAGCTACTGTACATTTCCAGCCCTACCATGTGCTGAAGTCCAGCAAATAATTTCCAAAATGCAAAATGCAGTAAACTGAACTGCACTGAACTGAATGAGCTCAATATGGCACACATAAATAGTTCAGCTATCCGTAACGATCTGTAAAAGAGGACACTGCAACAGGTAGTGCTCCATATGCTTTGGACATAACATCTTTCATTATGAAGTGTGCTTTGAAGTGCACTTCACTCACTCTATGAAGTAAACTTCTCCTTTCTCAGTGTAGGCCATCTCCCAGTTATCTGGCAAAGGGCCCATTTCGTCATTCTCCTGGGAGTCCTGTGGGGACTTGGGGGCGTCGCCTTCCTCCTCAGGGGCATCTGTGGCGGTGAGGGTGGGGGTCTCGGGTGGGCACGGCTGGACAGGCACATCTTCAGAAGCGTCAGTGCTCTTGTCCTCGTGTTCACTCGATTCTGTGAGGGAAAACAAAACGAATCAGTGTTGAGCATGACCTTCTGACTGAGAGACTTATTTGACAGTAGAGTGTCGTAAAGGAAGGTACAAAGAGATACGAGTACATAAAGCAAACAAGTAATGACTAAGAGTAGCTATGTTTCCATCCACCTATTTTTATGCACATTTAGGAATATTGAATGGAAGCGCAAAAATTCTAAAAATGCACATAAAAAAAAAACGTATGCGCACAATTGAGTAGGATAAATGTTTTATTCGATGAGAAAAAAATTTGCATAAACTACGATGGAAACACATTTACTGAATAAATTCCACCATGCGCATCGAAAAAGTCATGTGACTTTGCACGATGGAACGGGAAAACTTGACTAACCAGCAGACCGCTCTTGTTGCACAACATCGGCTGTCGTCAAAGTACTTCAGTATAATTATCTTACTTGACTGTGTCCCCAAACAGCAGGCATCCACCTCCAAAAGCAATGACAGCATTTATTGTGTTTTGTCTGCTCGCTCTGAGGCGCAAGTAATTTATCATATATGAAAATTATTATATTAAGTGGCTTCTCCTACTTTTTAGTATAGTAGTAGTTTTAAGTAATATTTAGTGCCAGTTTATCAGGAAGTGACGAATTTGTTCTCTTTGACTCATTGGATGGAAACTGTGCTTTATTCGCAAATGTTTTATGCGATATTCCAGTTTTGCACATAAGTTAAATTCGCATCTTTGGATGGAAACATAGCTACTGTCAAAATTAATTCTTACTAAAAAGCCTTACCAGCCTTACTAAAAAGTGCCTCATCAGCTCAGTATGATTCAAAACCTCATCTTGGAGTTACGTAACAACTGAAAACATCTTTCATTAGCCCACATTCATAATTGACTCAGTCGGGTCAGTACTATCTCAGTAACAGTGGTAGGTCGTAACCTGGTGTGATGGCGATGCCGTTGCCATTGACGACTGGGCTCTCTTCCTCCTCCTCTTCTGGTGGCTCAATGCTGTCCTTCTCCATGTTGCTGACAGACTTATTCCTCTTCCTTTTTCCCTCTGCACTGGGTCGGGCACCGGGCAAGAGTTGGTCCGTCACATTAAACAGCATCGGCGTGGGTTCGGCAGGAGGCTTTGGCGTGCCATAGAAGTTATCTAGAAACAACACATTTTGGGATTTAATCTAGGAAAAATCGCTTTCGCAGCTACTACTTGCATGCAAAAAGGTGAAGTCTGACTTGAAGTAACTTTTCAATAACTTTGCTGGGGTAATTTTTTTTCTGTGTGATGTTTGCCGTTACGGCACCCTCGTTCACCGGCGACTAAATCGTTTCATTCAAGACTGAAAAGAAATCATGTGTATCCAGGGAAATCTGTTTAATGATTAAAAACTGAGCTCCTGTGTGGTTACGGCACAGGCTTTATGAATTCATTTGCAGGTCTGTGGGGACGGAAACAGAAGAGGTGAAGTTCATCGATTCATTTAAATTACACCCTGTGACCCAGAATTATAGACTGGGAGTGGACTAACTTCACCTCAACAAAACCACATGAAATCTATAAAATCAATATACAGTACCTATATACTGTGCTGACTTCTATTTAAATATCCTGTTAAATTAAAAACAGTTTAATTTAACAGTTTAAATTTAATACAATATATTTTAATATGTAATTTATTTCTGTGATTAAAAGTTGAATTTTCAGCATCATTACTCCAGTCATTCACTCAACTCATGATTCGATTCGCGATTTTGATTTCACGACTCGATTCACAATTTTTTTTTCTACAAAATGAGATTTAAGACAAATTGCCCTAATTTGTCAAAATTTGTTAGTCGCTTTTGATAAAAGCGTTTGCTAAATAACAACATTTAAATATAATGTAAATGTAAATAACAAAACTAAATTGAAATTTTAAAACAAGCCCCAAATCAAATAAATAAGTAGCACAAATAAAATAAATCTCTTCATATAAACAAACTAAGGCTTTGTCTGTGCTCTTTCCATTTAATATTAGAGGCAACCACTGCATTTTAATCATGATCCAAACAAAGATGCTGCATACATGCAACATGAGCAGTTTTTAATCTAAATTACATTGTATAATTTAGAAATTTGAAGCAAAAACAGTATGGTTTGACTTCGGTTTTGTGAAACTATGCATAAAAAATATCTGCATGAAACAGAAACAGCAGACGAGCTGCATGAGATGCAGATTCACTCTCTGCCAGCAGGTGGCGCATAAAGCATTTCCTTGGTTTCCGCTGTAAACAAAACAGCGCTGCACTTATGAACTTTAATATGCATTATACAGAAACAGAGGCAAGAGGAAAAGAAAAAATACCATCGAAAGACAGTAAGTTCCCCTCAGACGTACATTCATATAAACTCCTACCCCGAATTGAATCGCGATTTGTTTAGCATCTCAACCGATTTTAATCGTCACATATTTAAATCGATTTTCAACCGGCTCGCGGTTAATCGTTACATCCCTAGTCTTCAGTGTCACTTGATCATTCATGTATTATTGTATCATGCTGTTTTCCCACTCAAGAAACATTTCTTATTATTATCAATGTTAAAAACAGTTAATATTTTAGTGAAAACCTTGATACATTTATTTCAGCAATTTAAAAAAAAAAACAACAACTTGAGCAGTAGTGTATCTGCTAAAGGTTAATTTTGCCACCTTTAAAAATTATTATTATTATTATTATTATTATTATTATTTACGATTTATTTTTGGTCTTTTTGCATTTATTTTGATAGGAAAGTAAGTACTGACAGGAAGCGAAATTGGAGAGAAAGAGAGGGACGGGGTCGGAAAGGTCCACGAGCTGGGATTCGAACACGGGACGCCCATAGTGCAACAGTTATATGTTGGCGCGCTGCCAGGAGGCTATCGGCACTGACTTAAAGGGGTCCTATTATGCTCTTTTACAAAGTCTTGATTTTGTTTTGGGGGTGTACTAGAGCAGGCTCTCATACAAGGTTGTTCGAAAAACACATATATATATACATAAATTTTGGATCTTGCTAAAGATTACATTAAACGGTTTTATCAAATTATTAAGATTAACTTTAAGTGAGTATTAGCTGACTGCACAGTTAATCTAAAAATAAAGGAAACTCCCCCTAATATTCCGATAATTGAGATGATTCCCATTAAATGTAATTTTTTGAAACTATCAAACACAGTTTTCTTCATTGAAATATCAAAAAATATCAACAAACATCATATTTGTCTTTCTCTGCTGTTATTCTCAATGTCTGTCACCAAGTTGTCTCTCACTGAAGCTGTTATGATGCTGTGCCTCACAGAGTCATGGGAAGGATCTTCCTCGCCTCATGTAGAGAAAACAAACCTGCGTCTGAAAGTAGTCCACACACCCCAGTGTCAGCACTCAAGAGACCAAACTGCACTAGTTCTGAATACCTCTGCTCAATGTCAAAGATACGTGCTCCTTCTTGCGGTAACATGGAGCAAATTTAAGGAAATTCATATTCCAGACCGCAATAGTGTAACAGGTGTTTTATAAGCTTTATTTGGAGAGGTAGTGATTTATTGGGATGTGGGAGGTTTAACAGTGTATTTCACTTACCTTCGTATGTTCCACTTTCTAACAAAGCCCCACTTTTCTCTAATTCCATAAACCGCTCAACGCTCACAAAGTTGTAGTCCACACCTGGGACCTCCCCCTCTTTGGGCTGTCTCGTTGTGCCTGCAGACAAAAAAAAAACACATATCATGTCTGTCAGAATATTTAAGCTATACACAAGACTAAGCAAAATACAGCCTCACAGAAATGTACTGTCAAAGTATCACAGTAAGTTATGATACAATTGATTCACAAGGTAAAAGCCATGTGAATCTTAATTACCTTAAACTATGATAATCATATACCATGGTATTTAGCCAAGTAAATTTTTAATAATTATTTGCAATACATAAAATACAATAACAATTTAAATTTAAGTTGAAGCATATTTCACAATTATAAAATATATTTATTCAGAGATACACAGTAATAAACAGCAATATTTATCTACATATTTTAACTAAAACATCTTAAAATAAAAAAAAAGCATTTTGATTTTGAATTTGAATCAGATTTTGAATCAGATCCACTGAAATGGACAGCTGGAGTTTATTCACAGAAATAACTCAGTTTAAGGGGAAAAAACACACACATATATATAGCCAGAATGTTTTTTCTTTTCTTTTTTTTTGTGGGAAAAATTCATCGATTTATTCAGAATTCAATTTATGAAAAGTGCCAGTTAAGACATTTATACTGTTACATAAGATTTCCATTTCAAATAAATGCAGGTTTTTGAACTTTATATTAAATACCTTCCACAAAACTATTAATAAACGCAACCAATTTCAACATTAATAAAAAAAAATGTTTCTTAAGCACCAAATCATCATATTGATTTCTGAAGGATCATGTGACACTGAAGTCTGGAGTAATGATGCTGAAAATTCAGCTTTGCATCACAGGAATAAATAAAAATTGTCTGGTATTTTCTGGAGCAGCATTTAAAACCAAATAAGGACAAACAGTCACTTAAAAAAACACTAAGCAATAAAGTAACTGTGAAAACTCGCAAAGTGTCGTTTCCAAGTTCCAGATTGACTGCTTATGTAAATTGGGTGCATAATTAATTCATTAACTGAGGCTGAGTCTTCTGAGGGTAATCAAACATTCTTAAGAAATCAGGTACTGGGGATTTGCAAGATGCATACTTAGCAACGATATCATAATCCAGTCCCTTGAGCTCTCAACCAAATCATCTCTGATTTCTCAAAACTTTTAGTCTGAAAAAAAAAATCATCCAGCTTTTGGCTTGTGAACTTCCCTGCAAGAGAAAGAGTCCATCCCTGCTGTTTGCTTTTGCAGGTTGGCTTTAATGACATTCTATCATGACCAATAATCAGGTGTGAAACAGACATTTATTATTGAATACCGAGGGGAAAATACTTGAGCATGTGAACCATAAAAATATGAAGCTGACTAAATCAAAAAGTCAATTCAAGTTTCTGTGAAAAATGACAGTGCATTTGAAATTAGGGTACTTTTATTTAATTTAGCATTCTTATTAATTCTGGCAATTCAAAGGACAATTTAAGATTAATCAGGCGGGTAATTAATAGCGAGATTTGATTTGACTTCACAGAGTGAGCACAGATGTAACGGATGGGTCATCGGATGAGGCTAATGATCTTAATCAATAACAGCAGTCAGCTTGCAACCAAGGAGACTAAAGTGCTAAAAAAACAAAAATAATAACTTTATTCAACAGTTTCTTCCATTCCATGTTAGTACTCACGAGTTGAACCACTGATGTCACATGGACTATTTTAACGATGCCCTTACTACCTTTCTGGGTCTTGAATGTGGTAGTTGCGTTGCTGTCTATGCAGGGTCAGAAAGCTCTATGATTTCATCAAAAATATCTTCATTTGTGTTTCGAAGATGAACCAAGGCCTTATGGATTTGGAACGACACGAAGGTGAGTAGTTAATGACAGAATTTTCATTTTTGGGTGAACTATCCCTTTAAGAAAACTATCAGCAATGAATATAACAGAACAGCAGAGATTCAGTCAGTCATACAGGAGCTGAACTGTCTGTGGATAAAGCATTATCATTCACATATGGAACAACAATAGTCCAGTCAGACATCATTCTGGCTGTTATTGCCATACAATTGCTAAACTGACACCATCACAATGAATCAAACTGTCTGAGATAAACTTCCTACATGCCCAGACATCATTTTCATTATAATTTCCATAATATTCCCAGTCATAAATAGAATATGGACACATTCAACAAAATAAAACACTTTTTTAACAGCAAATAAGCTATAGCATTTATTTTGAGCACTATAAGGAGTTTCTGGACACATTTTCAGTTGGTCAAGATGGCAGAACAGCTGACCAACCAGGTAAACCCACTAAACACCTGCTTGGAGACTAGATACACCTAAACTCAGGATCAGGAACTGACAAGAGCCGGATATGAACTCATAGCACACGCACAAGCAGCATATGCTGTACCCGCTGGGCCATGTCTCCAACTAAAGCAGATTTTAAAAATCAGCCCCAACAGATTTTTAGCTTCTACATTATTTGCTTATATAATATGGAAAGCTTTCAAGCCAGTGCTGATAAAAGCTTTTGCCTATATCTATCTGGTTTTTCAGACACACTTAAATAACACTTTTCCACTATAAAGTCAAGGAGCTCATTTCAGATTCAGGAGGCAGATATGCATTACCTCAGATCTGGAAATCAAAGGTTGGAGTGTATTTCTGGACTAGTGTGAAGTCTTTGAACAGGAAAAGTCCATTTTGCTTTTAGGGCTAAAATGACAGACCATATGTGTTGTTTTGAAAGGGTGAAGGTACTGCTGAATTATGAAAGTAAGACAAAACTAATATTTTTACTAAGTGAGAGAGAGACTGGGAATGAGAGACGAGTGCATCACACACAGCTTATGTAATATGCAGACAGCAATGGCACATTGTGGTCTAAAACATTTAAATATTCAAGGATATTCACCTGAACATAATTTCACCAGCGATGAGCCTAAATATAGTAGCTGTGAATGCTTTTACAAATTCAGTGGCTCCCCCGAGATGACGGCCTAATGCCGAGAAGATATTTTGTGCATAAGCTGTACAAAGCAACAGGCCTTCTTTGAACTGTCAATTATTCTAGCATATTAATATTAGTGCAATACAAATAATAATTAAAAGTAACCATCTAACAGCCGCATACTGTAGCACTGCACTGAAAACAACCTTAGTAACCACATAGCAATACCCTGGTAGCATTTACAACACCCCAGCACTGATGGCAAAGTTTACATAGGGAAGCACAACTATTTTTTAAGAAAATAAATCAATAGAAATAAATATATAAACATAGAACAATAGATAGACAGAACAACAGATAGAACGACGGACAGACAGACAGACAGATAGATAGACAGATAGATAGACAGATAGACAGACAGATAGACAGAACAACAGACAGATAGACAGAAAGACAGACAGACAGACAGACAGACAGATAGACAGATAGATAGATAGATAGATAGATAGAAAGATCAACAGACAGACAGACAGAACAACAGACTGTCTGTCTGTCTTTCTATCTATCTATCTGTCTGTCTGTCTGTCTGACAGACAGACAGACAGAAAGAACGACAGAACGACAGACAGAACGACAGAATGACAGACAGACAGATAGACAGAACAACAGACAGACAGACAGACAGACAGACAGACAGACAGACAGAACGACAGACAGACAGACAGATAGATAGATAGACAGAACAACAGACAGACAGACAGACAGAATGACAGAACGACAGATAGATAGATAGATAGATAGATAGATAGATAGATAGATAGACAGACCGATATATAGACAGACAGATAGAACGACAGACAGATAGAATGACAGACAGATAGAATGACAGACAGACGACCGACAGACAAATAGACAGATAGAATGACAGACAAACAGACAGATAGAATGACAAACAGACAGATAGAATGACAGACAGACAGATAGAATGACAGACAGATAGAATGACAGACAGACAGATAGAATGACAGAAACAGATAGAATGACAGACAGACAGATAGAATGACAGACAGATAGAATGACAGACAGACAGATAGAATGACAGAAACAGATAGAATGACAGACAGACAGATAGAATGACAGACAGATAGAAAGACAGACAGATAGAATGACAGACAAACAGACAGATAGAATGACAGAACAGACAGACAGACAGACAGACAGACAGACAGACAGACAGACAGACAGACAGACAGACAGATAGAAAGACAGACAGACAGATAGAATGACAGACAGACAGACATAGAATGACAGACAGACAGACAGACAGACAGACAGACACAAGTTGCATTAGCTCAATCTTGGTTTCTCTTGTTTTTAGCATTCAATGCTAACAGCTAAACAAACATAATTTTGAATTTGTTTCTAACATTAAATCACCACCATTTCTAAATTCATCCCATATGTATTTATCCATCTGTGTCATTACAGATTTGTGTGGATCATCTCAGAGATGTAAAGGCCTCTATGGAGGAGTGATTTCAGTGTTCCGACAACACACTTTTACAGTGCATGTCCAGGGAAACATAATGCGCTGACAAAGGCAATTCAAATGCGCAAATGCCTGCATCTGTATGCTGACAAAGGGCTAAACATGACACAGAGGAAATTACACGGAAGCTTTGCTGATATTCATATGCATCATGAATATTTATATCTTAATAATCAAATGGAAATACTGTACAGTTTTCTCAAGTATTTGGGGTGGGATCTCTTTCTTTTGGAGAACAAATCTTGTGATTTAATCAAATCTTATTAATTTACAACATTCAGAGAAGATTATGCAAACAATACGTATTTAATGGCAAGATTTAACAGCAATGACACAAACAATAAATCAATACACTTTCATTTACACAACCCCTTAACTGTCACCGTCCCACCTGTGGGACGCTTGGCGCTCTTTTATTTTGTTGTCCTTTTTCTCTATCAAATATTTTAGTAATTATCATAAATTAAATATCGTTTGAAAGCATAGAAGCCCAAGATTCATCCTGTGAAAACCATTTTGAAATCAGACATTGCGTTACCATGGAAATGGTACTTTAAAATCTTTTGG